GGAGGAGGAGGAGGAGGAGGAGCAGGAGGAGGAGCAGGAGAAGGTGGAGGAGGAGGAGGAGGAGGAGGAGGAGGGGGTGGTGGTGGGACGCAGGCATGGCGAAGGGTTCGCGAGCTCTCGTCGTCTTGCCGCGCCTAGGCCTCCTGTTCTGTAAGAGGAAAGCCAAGAGAGGCGGCGGGGGCGGCAATGGTGGGTCCCGCCTCGAAGAAGGAGGCGAAAGAAAGGCTGCCTGACCAGGGCGCTCTTCGCCTGTGGGCCGCGGCCCTCCTGGCCTGGCGCCTGAGCAGCGCCTCGGAGCGGTTGGCCGCGATGCGTGCAATCTGCTCGGGGGTGAGGCGAGGCGGGGAATCAGACATGCCGGGGAGCAACGGTGCGAGGGTCACTAACGGCGCAACGCCGGGCAGTCCCCACTCGCACCGCGCCCCCCGTTGGGAAGACAAAACCCACGCCTGCACTTCCGCCCTGAGGCGAGGCGGGAGGGGCGGCGGCGGGGGAGAGGAGGGGGAAGAGGGAAAAGGCCTCAACCAACACTCTAACTCCTCATCCGATCCAGGCTCGTGCAAGAGAATATTCCTGCTGGGGCTGTCATTAGCTGGCGTCGGAGCTGGGGTGGGAGCTGGGGTCGGAGCACACATGGGGCCCATGGGAGTCTCATTGGGGTCGTCCTGGAACCTGTGCATCTCTGGATCTGCTCTCTGTGTCTTGGTCGTTATCCCTGCAAAATCTGGTGCTGCGTCAAAGTCCGCACCTATCTCTGACAGGTAAAACTTGCGTAGGTCGGCGCACAGCGCGCTCTCGTCAAATTGCTGATCATCGTTGTCAGCATCTGCATAAATATTTTGCATGGAGGCTGCAATGGCTGCTGCTAAACGTGCACACATCTCCTCAGGATATGTTTTCTTAGCATGCGTCTTAAAGACCGTGCGTCCTCCAACATGTTCCTTCCCCTGCAGTATTTTGTGCACTCCTCTCCCGTGGTGACACCAGCCATTGCCTGGGCCGTCGCACAGGCGTCGTCGCAAACATGGCATCCTCAGTCCGAGGAGACGCGTGGGAGCTCTGCCAAACTCCGCTGGGTCTCGATCTGTCGGCTGCAACGTGCATTGATCAAAGTCGGCCGTGATCGTGATGGGGGCTGAGGCTAGGGCCTCGAGGGGCTCCCAGTGGAAGCTGCTGGGGGCCTCTGGCCTCCAGTGGGCCGGGAGGGGATGTTCGATCCACCCAGAGGTCCCCGCCACCATGTGACAGCCCAAGAGGAACACAAGGTTCTGCAGTAACGTGTTGGCCGCATGTAATTGTATGGCCTGTCGTTCCGAAACCCAAGGGACGCCCCAGAACCACTCATGTGTACGTAAAGGGGGGGGACCCCCGTCCAGCCATCTGGCCGCGCTCCAGGTTTCACAGGGGGGCCCCCCCCCTGTGTTCCACACCCGTCTGGCCAAGATGTGTTCACCCCACTGTGTGATAGTATCTGTGCGCATGAGGTCCCCCATGTCTGTGTCAATGGCTATGTCCACTGAAAGCATAATAATGTGGTAGGCTGACGCAACATGTTCATGCTCGATCCAGGCCTGCACGTCGCCCTCGCGTCGCTTGCCTGAAAAAAGGTTGAGCACAAAAATCTCCTTTCTGTGTATTCGCATGGGGACCCACTCAGCGGCTGGTCCACTGAAGTCTTGCGGTCGGTACCTGTAGTATATGTCACTGAATGTGAGTCCTTCCTGCAGTGTTGGCTGGGGGGGGTCATTGAAGAGAGCTGTGTATGCCGACATTGCAGTAGGTCCTATTTCGTATGCATGTGTACGTAGTAGTTCCTTGGCCTCACTCTCAGAGAAGAAGGCTGCTGCAAACATGGCTGCAGGGTAAAGCCCGTCCGTCGGATATTGCACATGTGCTGGGAATGCTGCTCTCCATCTGCCTAGTCCAGCACGTCTCTGCTTCTCATGCAAATCAAGGTCTGCCTGTCGCAGCTCCTCTGCCCTCTCTGGAGGGACCGTAGCACCGTGCAAAATGTATGCTAGCTGGCACACTGCTGCGTCGAAGGCAAGGTGATCCCTGAGGAGACGCCTAGAGGAGAAGGCCATAGAGCACGCCATGCATACTGTCCCTTCCCCCATGAATCTGGATACCACGTGTACCTGGCTGTAGTGTACGCGCACGATGTGCTGTCGCGTGCTCTTTGCTGTCTTGCCCACATAGTCACACCACATGCATCTGAGATCGGTCTGCACCTGTGGGGGGGGATGAAGAGGATGATTCACGTTCGTGATCGGTATCGGTACTCCTGCCGGGTGCACAAGTCGAAAGAAATCCTGCTGTGCCTTGTCAGCCAAGGCTGCTCTTGCCGCTGCCTCAGCATGCGCAGCAAGAGTGACATGCAATACCTTCTTCCAAGCTGAGAGTGACTGCAAAATTCGAACTTCCCATGCCTGGAAGTCCTCAGTTGGATCTGGCATCTCACGCAGTCGGTGGTTGTTGGTCCGCACCCACTGTAAGTCATGTAGTACTCTGTGTAACCACGTGCGTTTGTGTATGTGGTCCTTGCGGTACGTATGCGCAAGTAGGCTGCGTAGTGTAGGTGTGCCATGGTGTAATAGGCGACCTAGCAAGCGTAACCTGTGTACTCTAAGCACTGCACGCAGATCCGCCCGTCGTACCCTTGCTAGTATGAGCCTGTCGGTGTCCGCTTCAGAGTCCTTCTGAGGGGCCCTCAAAACCTGACGATATTTGTTGATGATCAGGTGCTGAATGTGCGCGTGCTGAGCTTCCGTGAGTTCTGGCCACGTACCTGCATTGTAGAGGAGGCCCGCGAAAATGAGCGTGTCCACAAAGTGCAGAGTGGCCTGTGGTGGGAGCCCAATAGGGGAGCCAAAGACCCGTCTACGCAGTAGTGTACTGGACGACCTCACAGACGCTTCCCGATGGGCCAGCTCGGGCCCGATCGATCCCAGTTCATCTAGCTGCGTGCCCAAGTGTGGATATGTCCTCACTGCGAGCAGAGTGAAGCGTCCTAGGAGCTCTGATTGGATCTCGAAGCGGCCTTCTCGCTCGAGCCATAACTCCCGTTTGGCACGCTTGGCGCCAATTCCTTTGAGTTGAAACAGCACCTCCGTCTTGCCTG